TACCAGCTGCTGACCGGGAAGAAGCCCGACTTGTCGCTGGCACGCGTGTGGGGCTGCATGGCGCAGCTCCTTGTCCCCGAGCAGCAGCGCGGTGGGAAGCTGAAGCCGAAGGCCCGGTGGGGCATTCACCTCGGCGTGTCGGAGGAGAGCAAGGGCTGGAAGCTCCTCAATACCGCCGACAACCGGGTGGTCACCACGTCGGACGTGGTGTTCTACGAGACCATGTCGTTGGAGGTGTGGAAGTCGGAGCACGGGCCTGCGTTGGGGCGGACGCAAGCCGCCCTGCCATCGGACACCTCGACAGCAACGCTATCTCTGCTCGCCGAGGTCGGTGAGCCTGCTGCTGAGGACGTCGAAGATGTCCCCTCTTCCTCCCCTTCCCCTGCCCCCCGTGCTCCGCCCCATGTTGCCGACCTGCGTGGGCTGCCACCGGTGTCGGCCTCCGGCGATGAGGGGAGCCGTGGGGCATCGCCTGTGGCGCCGGCCAAGAGCATCGCCGGTGGCCGACGTGACGCCCAGCCAGTCGACACGAGAGCAAATTCGACGCCGACAGGGGAGGGGCAGGCCGAGAAGGTGCAGCCGACGAAGGAGGCACTAGCAGGGCAGCAGCCGACAGGGGAGCAGGCAGCAGCGAAGCCGACCAAGGAGCATTCGGCAGAGGAGCCAACGACAGGGGAGAAGTTGGCAGGGAAGCTGACTGAAGTACAGCAGGATGCTGAGGGCAACGACGCCGGTGACGATGCAGGTGACGTCGAGGAGTCCGCCGACAGCGACGTGGTGGAGGTTCAATCTGGACCACGGCGTTCGGGCCAACTTCGGGGGCCGCCTGACTTTTTCATCCCCACTGCCTTCACCACGGTGTACAACATGGACAACAATGACCTGACATACGACGACGCCAAGGACGATGAGGAACTGCTGGAGCTTGACACCAACCCGGAGACGGTGGGCAGCTACGTCACGCTGAGGATCTTTCTCAGCATCGTCGCCGTCCTCAACCTCAACCTGATGCAGCTCGACATGAAGAACGCCTTCCTGAAGAGTCGAGGGGCGGCAGCGCGCCGCTCCTCACTCCTCCTCGTTTCCCCCGACGACTGCTCCCCTGCAGACTCTCCACATGGACGTGTGGGGCCCAGCCCGCGTCCGCGGACAGGACCGCGAGCGGTACTTTTTGCTGGTCGTGGACGACTACACGCGTTACACCACGGTCTTCCCCTTGCGCACCAAGGGTGAGGTCCCTGATGTTTTGATCCCTTGGATCCGCGCTGCCCGTCTCCAGCTCCGCGAGCAGTTCGGGACGGACTTTCCCGTCCTGCGTCTGCACTCTGACAGAGGTGGTGAGTTTGCCTCTGACTTTCTGCGGGACTTTTGTCGTGGGGAGGGCATTCGCCAGACGTTCACGCTCCCGGCCTTACCGCAGCAGAATGGGGTTGCTGAGCGCCGCATTGGCTTGGTCATGGAGGTCGCTCGTACCTCCATGGTCCATGCGGCTGCCCCCCATTTTCTGTGGCCGTTTGCGGTCCGATACGCTGCGCATCAGCTCAACCTCTGGCCCCGTGTCTCCTTGCCGGAGACCTCGCCGACCCTGCGGTGGACGGGGAAGGTTGGCGATGCGTCCGTGTTCTGGGTCCGGGGTTCTCGTACCTTTGTCCGCGATACGTCCGCGGACAAGCTCTCCGGCCGCGCTATTCCCTGCGTCTTCCTTGGCTTTGTCCCTGACGCGCCTGGCTGGTAGTTTTACCACCCCACCTCGCGCCGAGTCCTGCCCTCTCAGGACGTCACGTTCGACGAGTCGGTTCCCTTTTGCCGTCTCTTCCCCTACCGCACTGCACCGCTTCCCCCCCCCCCGCTCTTCCTTGCACTAGGTAGACATCCGGGTAGACCCCCTTCTCCCCAGGGTCCTGCTCCCTCAGGTGTGTCTCAGGTAGACGCTGTCGAGCCTGTCGAGGTAGCGGTTGACTCTGGTGCTGCTCGTGGGGGTGGTGCTGCTGCGGGTGCTGAGCCTGAGCGTGTGGAGCCTGGGGGTGCTGAGCCTGAGCGTGTGGAGTCTGGGGGTGCTGAGCCTGGGGTTGCTGAGTCTGAGGGTGCGGAGCCTAGGGGTGCTGAGCCTGGGGGTGCTGAGTCTGAGGGTGCGGAGCCTGGGGGTGCTGAGCCTGGGGGTGCTGTGCCCGGAGGTGCTGAGCCTGAGGGTGCTGAGCCTGCAGTTGCTGAGACTGGGGGTGCTGAGTCTACTGGAGTTCCTGCAGGTGCCTCGTCGCGGCGGGAGCCTCTCTCTCCACCGCAGCTGCGCGAGTGGTTTGCTCGCCGCTGGAGACTCCAGCGAGGTGCTGCTGGAGCTGGAGCTGCTGGAGGTCCTGCTGGTGCTGGAGTTGCTGGAGGTGTCAGAATCCCAGCCACTAACCACTGGGATAAAAGGGCTTGTTAAGTAGTGGGTCAGTGCGCCCATAACCCCCCAGGCCAACATGCCTGTAACCCTTTCCTAGGATCAATCGGGGATCACCAGTGGACCTCTGACAGGAGGTACTGCTGGTGCTGGAGCTGCTGGAGGAGTTGGAGCTCCTGGAGCTGGAGGTGCTGCTGGTGCTGGAGCTGATGGAGGTGCTGGAGCTGCTGGTCCCGGAGGTGCTCGTACTGGAGGTACTGGAGCTGCTGGGGCTGGTGGTGCTGCCGGAGTTGGAGCGGGAGGTGCTAGTGCTGTTGCTGCTGGAGCTGGAGCTACTGGAGGTGCTGGAGCTGGTGGTGCTGCGGGATTAGGAGCTGGAGACCTTGGAGCTGGGGGTACTGGTGTTGTCTTTGCTGGTTCAGGAGGCGCTGCGCGGCCGCGGCCGTACTTCGTTCCCCTTTTTCAGCAGGTTCTTGACCCCCCGCCTTCTACTGTTCCCACTCTTCTCTTACTGTGTCCACAGCCTGCCCAGCCGCAGTCGCAGCTAGAGCCAGCCTCTCCACTGCCTCGTCCTTCTCCTTACTCTGGGCCGACTAGAGGTCTTACGGAGCGTCGTGAGCCTGAGTCTCGTCCTGCGTCGCCTGAGTCTCGTCCTTCGTCGCCTGTTCGCGCTGTTCGCACTCGTAGTCGTGTCCCGCGTCCGCGTCCTCCTCCTGTCCCAGGCACGCACCAGATGGCCCTTCGTCCTTCCACTGCTCCACTACGCGCCCCTCTGCCGTCTCCTCCTGCGTCCTCTCTTGCTGTCGGTCCGGACCCGGACTCTGATTCCCTTCGTGCTGCTAGTCCTAATGTCACGCGTCTCCTGGCCACTGTTGTCACTGACTCGTCGTTTGAGTCCACTGCTGCGTCTGCCCTAGTTGCTGAGCTTGTTGACTTTGCTGCTGCCTGTCGTCTAGACTATGCCGCTAGCCTTGTTGCTGAGTCTGAGTCAGAGTCTGTCTGTCCTCCTTCCGTCGGGGGTGAGTGTGCTCTTGGCACGGACGTCCTTGAGGACAGGCAGGAGGAGTTTGAGTGCTTTGCCGCTGCTTTACCCCATCTTGTGTCCATGCTGATTGCCCCTGAGGGAGACCCGGATGCACCAGACATCCCGATCCCGCGCTTTTACGCAGAGGCGATAGAGGGTCCCTACTCCTTCTCAGTGGCAGACAGCCATGGACGCAGAGATGGCTTCCTGGAAGTCCACAGGCACCTACGTCGACGAGGTTCCCCCGCCTGGGGCGAACATCGTCAGTGGCATGTGGATTTTCAGAGTGAAGCGGCCGCCGCGTTCTCCGCCTGTCTTCAAGGCGCGTTACGTCGCACGAGGCTTCAGTCAGCGAGAGGGAGTTGACTTCTTCCAGACCTTCTCCCCCACTCCGAAGATGACCACTCTTCGGGTTCTGCTGCACGTAGCTGCTCAGCGTGACTACGAGCTGCACTCTCTTGACTTCAGCACTGCTTTCCTACAGGGCAGCCTGCACGAGGAGATCTAACTGCGCCGCCCACCTGGCTTCACTGGGTCGTTTCCTCCTGGTACCCAGTGGAGCCTCCGACGGCCAGTCTACGGTCTCCGCCAGGCGCCCCGTGAGTGGCACTGAGGACGACCCTTGCGGCTCTTGGCTTTGCTCCTTCCACTGCTGACCCGTCGCTGTTTCTACGCACCGACACCGACACCGTTCTACGTCCTCGTGTACGTCGACGACTTGGTCTTTGCTACTTCTGACACTGAGGGACTTGCCCACGTGAAGTCGGAGCTGCAGAAGAGACACACGTGCACAGACCTGGGTGAGCTGCGCAGCTATCTTGGCTTGCGGATCACCCGGGACAGATCACAGCGCACCATTACGTTGACTCAGTCACACATGGTGCAGCAGGTCCTTCAGCGCTTCGGCTTCACGTACTCCTCGCCACCGCCCACTCCTCTGCCTACTCGCCACTCGCTCTCAGCTCTGCCTTCGGATGAGTACGTAGAGCCGAGTGGCCCGTATCCAGAGCTTGTGGGCTGCCTCATGTACCTGATGGCCTGCACTCGACCTGACCTGGCATACCCTCTTTGCATCCTGGCACGCTATGTTGCTCCTGGGAGACACAGGAAGGAGCACATGGATGCCGCTAAGAGGGTGTTGCGCTACTTGTGCAGTACGTCGTGTCAGAGGTCCACTGGTGATCCCCGATCGATCCTAGGGAAGGGTTAGAGGCTCGTTGTCCTGGGGGGTTATGGGCGCACTGACCCGCTACTTAACAAGCCCTTTTATCCCAGTGGTCTAGTGGCTGGGATTCTGAGATGGTATCAGAGCGAAGGTCTCGGGTTCGAATCTCAGTGTGTGCACTTCGGGCATCCCAGTGCGGGGGGGTGTCAGAGGTCCACTGGTGATCCCCGATCGAACCTAGGGAAGGGTTACAGGCTCGTTGTCCTGGGGGGTTATGGGCGCGCTGACCCGCTACTTAACAAGCCCTTTTATCCCAATGGTCTAGTGGTTGGGATTCTGAGATGGTTTTTTTTTTTTTTTTTTTTTTTTTTTTTTTTTTAGAAAAGTATTTATATTAATAAGCTACGTCGACAAATAATTGCAGCCGTTTAGGGCTTGTGCACAATGAAGGACATGCACTGGACCTGCTTCACGTTGTCAAAGCCCAGAACACGGATGAAGCAACCAGGGTAGGAAGACTTGCACTCGTTGATCTCCCTGAGCACCTGGGACGCGTCAGTGCAGCCGAAGAGGGGCAGCTTCCACATCGTCCAGTAGCGGCCATCATAGTAGCCGGGGCCGCTGTTGTTTTCCCTGTACACAACACCGCTGGCGTCGAACTCGATAGCGGGGACCCAGCCGTTCTTGAGCATGTACCGGATCTCCTTGACGATCATGTCGTCGGTGAGAGCGGGAAGGTAGGACAGGGTCTCGAACCGGGGGTTGCCAATGGGGTTCCACACCTTCATGCACGACACACGGCTGCCGTTGGAGACAGTCTTGGTGGCGAAGCCATTGGGGGTGGCGACACCAGCCTTCAGGCCAGAGAAGGACACGGACTTGGAGGAGGCAGCAGAGGCCTCCACAGTTGCCTTGAAGGCAACAGGGGCAACAACGGCAGACGAGGTGATGGAGGCCATTTTCCTTTTCTGGAAGGAAAAGGAGATCAAGAACTTGGTAGGGAAGGTTGCACTGATTGCACGTCGGGCATGGGGCTCGTGCTTGGAGGACGGGCTCGAGTTGTCCTCACTGGTCACGCAGACGCTTCCTGGGCTGACGACTTGGCTACGCAGCGGTCGTCACAGGGTTACACTTTCAGCCTTGGCTCCGGCTCTGTTTCGTGGCGGTCTACCCGCTCGTCTTCTGTTCTCAACTCCAGCTGTGAGGCTGAGATCTACGCAGGGGCCATGGCTGCACAGGAGTTACGCTGGCTCACCTACCTGCTGACCGACCTGGGAGAGCCGCCTCGTTCTCCTCCATTGCTGTACGTAGACAACAAGGCCATGATTGCCTTGTGTCAGGAGCACAGACTGGAGCACAGAACGAAGCACATCGCTCTGCGCTATTTCCTTGCTCGAGAGCTGCAGCAGCGTGGTCAGCTTCGTCTTGCTTACGTGGCCACTCGGGCCAACACTGCTGATGTTTTCACCAAGGCACTTCAGCCTTGTGATCATCAGCATTTCTGTACTGTTCTAGGCCTTGTGCCCACTGGGCCTCACTTGCTTACTTCTTGCCTTTGCTTGTACTGTGATCTTTATACATATACCTGCATGCTTACTCTTGCTATGTTGTGATCACTGTATTGTTTGTTCGCCTTTATATAACTCTGCATGTGAACTGGCCTTGTGGCCATTTGCTTGTGCTCAGAATGCGTGGTGACTTCGTGATCCACCCTGAGCTTGCTTTGCTTCTCTTGACTGGTCTTGTGACCTCTTGTTCTCCCCCACTTTGCCTATGGGGGTGTGTCAAACTTATATGCTATAGTCGAGTACAGAACCAGTTCCTTCACCACCCACTTCTCGTCAATCCCCAGACCATAGAAGTCACCCTCCTGAACGAGCTGCTCGTAGTTCCAGCTGTCATGTCCAGGAGTCACCACCCTTGATCGCGAAACAGCTTCATATTGGTCATGAGTAAGGTATAGCGAGCTCATGTTATCGCACGGGCTTGCGTCGCGAACTCGTGTCAAAAGTGTAGCAAAATTCCAGTGAGCGCATGTCGGTAATGTAGGTGGTAACAGCTGGTCACAACCCTTTCCGTTTGAATCGGACACACGAAAAAGGCGGGAATGGGGCGAGACGCTGCGAAATCGCACGAAATTGGAAACCGGCGAGAGGCGCCTCGGGAATTCCGCACGTAGCAATGCCATCCTTCCATCACGCGCCAATTTCATCTGACGCGGGGTCCCAGCACACAAGCACACCGACCTGAAGCCCCAACTCGCTGTAAGCAAAGGTACGAAACACTACTACGGGCAGCATGGGTAATGTCGATGTGGCTGATCCATTGGCGCTTGTTCCACTGCCTGGAATTTCTGAAAAAATCGTCCCTGCCCTACCGGAAATTCCTCTTCGGGATTCCATCCAGGAAGACTCTCCCTCTACCGGGACTTTCATAGAGTCTTTCCTCTCGTCTCCTCGAATGGACTCATTCAGCTCTAAACGAGTACATTTTGAGCAGATCACAGTCGTTTATTCAGTTCACTCATTTTGTTCTCTGGTTCTCTAGCTCAAGGTTACTCGTTGATCATCGGAACCATCTATTACTCTGAGCCTGAGTCTTATCGAAAGCTCTGTTAAAAGGTTTTCAGTCTTCGTTCTCTCGCATCGTAAGAGAGATTTCGATGCAAATTTGTCTCTGCTGGCTTCCAGCACGGCTGCTGGCGCTAAGCGTAACAGCAATATTAACAGCAAGGACAAACGGCCGAACACCGACACCATGAGGCTCCGGACGACCAAAAAAGGCTTCAGCCCGTTCTTTGCCGCATACAGAATCGGTAGATTTGACGAGGAACTGAAGGGAGTCCAGCAGGTCATTCCGTAAGCCTCATGGCTTCTCTCCGCTGCGTCCAGCTGCTGTGAATGCGATGGTGAAAGCTGCTGCCTGTGATCTGCCACCAAGGCAACAACAGGCGACACAGCAGAAGTCAAAGCAACTGTATAAAAAAATCAGTTTTGCTGGCTGCGATTTCAAGCATGCCATCGAAGATCCCAAAGCCTGCGTTTCTAAGAACGTCCATGAAGGTCGTTAAGGCGAGTGCTACAAGCAGTTGCAGGTCAAAAAATAATATTGAGGAAGAAAGCTCTTTAACGCATAAGGGATTGTCAAAGCTGCAGCAAATAAAGGAGATGTTTGAAGACTCCAGAATGGCCAAGACCAGAAGTCGCGTGCCTGTTGCTGCTGTTGCCGCATGATCTGTGGGGGAAGGAGGTAACGCAAAGCTGGCTGATGACTTTCTGTTGACAGCAAGTTGTTTCTGTGATGCTAAATTATGCTACAACAGTAGCATAACATATCAGATGTTTCTGTGTGCTAAATTATGCTAGATGCCTAACTGTTAGTTGTAGAAACTTGTACATAATACTCCTGTAAAATATGTTGTTGCACGTTATTGTCCTGAAGGCTGGTGAAGGATACTTATAAAGTCACAATCTTGCAGAAATATGAGCAAGTGGAAACATATTCAGCACTTTTCTGTGTGGTGTGTCCACTGGGTTCCTCCTTCTATTCCCCCCAATCATTTTTCTGCTTCCCAGCCTTCCCCTTTACCTTTACTGTCTTTCCTACCTTTACTGTCTTCGCTGCTCTCCCTCCCTGCAAGCCTTAGATTGCAATGGTTATTGTGGCTTTCCAGCCTGATTTCAGTGACATTAGCTCATTCTGGCAATTGATTCCTGTGACTTGTTTCAATGACACACTAAAGTCAGTCATTGATTCTTGTCTAGATACCCATTTCAGCCACTCATTCCAATCACTGATTCCAGTGGTTTGTTAAAGGGAAACATTCAGTCATTGAGTGCAGTGACTGGCTCCATTAACTTGTTTTGTTGACTTCGCCAAGTCACTGATCAAAACCAGTGTTTTAGTGACTCATTCCAGTCACCAATTAGCTTCAGTGACTTATTTTGGTTAGTCACTGAGTTCCGCAAGGCTTGATTTAGTTACTCAATCTACTACTTGATCCACTGGCTTGATTCAGTGACTCATTCCAGTCACTGGTTTCAGTGACTTGGTGACTTTTGAGTCACATGATTCCAGTTGCTTGTTTCTGTGACTCATTCCAGTCACTGGTTTCTGTGACTTGTTCCATCCAATGGCTCGTCACTGACTGTGGTGGCTTATTTCAGTGACTTATTTACTGACTTTTTCTAGGCATGGGCATTAGCCCGACCCGACCGGACCCGACCCGGCCCGTCTAGGCCGACCCGAGACTCAGCTCGGTATACCCGACCCCGGGTATTTGGCCCCAGGATGTTGACCCGACCCGCCCAGGACCTCTCGGGTATCCCTGACCCGCGGTCGGGTCGGGTATACCCGAGGTCGGGTCGGGTATACCCCGAATACCCGTTTGTTAGTTGCATTGTATATTCGTAACCCTAGCCCTAGGCACACCACTCGGGTACGGGTATACCCGACCCGACCTAGAACCACCGGGTCGGGTACCGGGTATTGTTTTACCCGACCGGGTATACACTACTCGACCCGCCCGGGTAGTCAATTCCAATATAAGGACCCGACCCGACTAAAAAGTCGGGTCGGGTCGGGTCTTTTGCCCATGCCTTGTTCCTGTTACCATTCATGTGACCTGTTTCAGTAACTCCTTTCCATATATGTTTTGCAGTTACTCTTTTCAAGAACTGATTCCAGTGACTTGACTAGGTGACACATTCAGTCATCGAGATTTGAGTGCCGTGAATTCTTTCAGCGACTCGTTCCAGTCGCTGAGAGTTTCAGTGTCATTTCCAGTCAATGATTCTCCTTTTTTTACGTAGTGACTCAGCCAGTTTCAGTGACTCAATCCACGTCATGGAGTTTAGTCACATGGTTCAGTGACTGCATCAAATCATTGGTTTCCGTGATTCGTTTCAGTAATTCTAATCAATGAGTCCAGTGCCTTTGATTCAGTGACTCATTTCAGTCGCTGATTCCCATGACTCATTTAAATGCTAGCTGATTCCAGTTACATGGTTCAGTGACTCATTCCAGAGGCTGATTCCAGCGACTTGTTTCAGTCACTAAACACACTTTCTCCATCTCAATTCTTTGCTCCAAGCAGTTTCATGGTGGCAGATATGAGTGCAGTGTTGACTGATAGTTGCGACCTAGAGGCTCTAAACACACCTTTAAATCACACTAGGTAGTCCCCACGGGGTCACCTCCAAGGGTCCTTGGGTGCCTGGCAAAACCAGCCCCTATCCAAGGGTCCGTGTTTGTAGAGGGAATTCCCTAAGTGCAAAAACAGTCGTGCGTTCTAGAGCGTTCCCAAACTATGTTGCGCAGCGTTGACGACGGATTGGCTCGTGTGCAGAATAGCTCTTCACGTCAATACGTTGATAGAGCACGTTAACTTGTTAGAGAGCTTCAGAAAATATTTCCACTAGAAAGGATTGATGACAATCATGCACAAGCAAGCATTTTATGTTTCGCCTAACACACAAGCAAAGGAAAGCATAAAGCAATTGGAGGACGAAGTTCTTGATTTTGTCACGCTGTACTTGAAAACGGTTGCACAACTTTTTGGGCTGTTGCCTATTTTCCCCTGTTGCAAATAGATGTCATTTGAGGCAATTCCCATGCTGACACCTCACATGAACATTTGTGGCTCCCACATGAGTCCCATATGCCTCCCATAAGCCTCACATGAAGTTCATGCGAGTTTACAGTTGTAAAACGGATTTAACCGTTTGATGACGCGAGCAACCGAATTGTACCTGCGGGGAAATCATTCTCCAATGCGGCGTGACTTTCTCGAGAAATTTCGAGTTCGCCACGTCAGAAAAGACAGACTGGAGATTCAGTTTTTCAACTGAAATCTCGAGTCAACCCCGAGCACCCCTCGGGATCCCTCGGCACCCCCCGAAACACACGCGCACCCCTCAGGTGCGCAATCATGCACGACCGACTTTTCGGTCGTGCTGTACAGTGCACGGACGTGCGCTGTACTGCGCGTGGCAGGGCGATCATTCGCCCTGTCTTGTTGCAATCGTGGGCCCTGCCACGCTCGCAACAGTGCCAAGGCACATGCGCGAGCCCTGAGGGGCCACGCGCGAGATTTGGACCCCACGCGCGATCCAGATTCTCGCGTCCCCTTTTTCTTTGACCAGGGCGAAAGTCAATTCCACCCCAGTCAAACTATCGACCCCACATAAACACCCCACGGTACATCACTCGCTCACATATGCCACGCATGAAACATAACAAACAAATGGGATTTTCATGGGAAGCTCATTTGAGGCTCATTGGAGCTTCATAAGAGCTTTCATTTGAGTCTTCATTTGAGCTTTCATTTGAGCGCGTCATGGGAGCCTCATTTGAGCGCTTCATGAGAGCTTCATTTGAGTGCATCATGTAAGCCTCATTTGAGCGCTTCATGGGAACAGTGAAAACACAAATGAAAATGCACTAACACAAAATGCAATTACGAATGAAAACGAAACACACAAAATGCAAAAACAAATGCGCACAGAACACACACAAAATGCGCACACACAAAATGCAAAATGAAATGACATTTCTCACGCCACAAATTACCTTCAAACAAAACTCCCCATTTTCTTTTACCGTCGGCGAATAGGCGGTAGGTTGACGTGCAAAATATAAATTTGCACCCAACATGCAGCAGAGGAGGTGGATAAAGCGGGCTGAGTGAGAGACATCATAGCAGCCGTGCACTTCTACGGCCACAGCAAGCAACATGTAATCTTTGCGCAATGCTTGGCTGCAAGCTAAACTTGTATGTTCTTGCTTCGTTTCTTCCCTGGATTTCTATAGCAAGCAATCAGTTCACCAACTGATCCATATCCCTGCAATCGAATCTATATTCCCTGCATCGCCCAAACTCGCTTCAGGTGAAGAATCCTCCAGATCTCTCGTTTGTGTTTGTTCAACTTGATGTTCTGTTTTCTCTAATTGTCCAAGTTATGTTTCCTTTCC